CAACTTGTGTCTTTTGTTGTTAGGCTGGAAGAGAATCAATTTTATTCATCTTTTCAAAGACCCAGCTTTTGCTTTGTTGATTTTTCTCTACTATTTTCCTGTTTTCAGTTTCATTGGTTTCTACTCTAATTTTTATTCTTTCTTTTCTTTTGCTTGTTTTAGGCTTAAATTGCTCCTCTTTCTCTAGGGACCTAAGGTAGAAACCTTAATGATTTGAGATTGTTATTTTTTCTCACATATTCATCTAATGTTATGAATTTCTTCATAAGCACCATTTTTTTTACTGCATCCCACACATTTCAATAAGTTTTATTTTTATTTTATTTGGTTTAAAACATGTTGATATTTTTCTTGAAACTTCCTCTTCAAACTATGGGTTATTTAGAAGTCAACTGTCAGATTTCCAAATATTTGGGGGATTTTTAAAATTTATCTTTTTGCTATTGATTTTTAGTTTGTGTTTTGAAAATATACATTGTTATTTTTTTAAGTTTAAAATATATTTTATGGTCTAGAATATAGTCTATCTTGGCAAATGTTTCCTGTGAGCTTGAGAAGAATGTATAGTCTTTTGTTTCTTTGGTGGATTATTTTATTAATGTCAATTAGATCAGGTTGATTAATTGTGCTGTTCAAGTCATCGATATACTTTTTTGATTTTCTGCCTGCTTGATCTATCAATTACTGACGATGGAATGTTGAAATCTCCAATATAATAATGGATTTGTCTATTTCTCCTTTTAATGCTATCAGTTCATGACTCGTACTATGAAAATTTCTTGTTAAATTCATATATGTGCAAGACTGTTATGTCTTCTTGGAGAATTGACTCCTCGATAATTTTCTTTTTTCTCAAGTTTGCTCTGCCTGAAATTAATATAGCTACTCCAGTTTTCTCTAGATTAGTGTTAACATGGTATGTCTATCCCTATCTAGTACTTTTAACCTATCTTAGTCTTATATGGCAAGGGGTTTCTGGTAGAGAGCAGACAGTTAGGTCTTGCTTTTAAAAAAAATTGACAATATCTTTTGATTAATGTAGTAGACCACTTATTTTTCAAAGGATCACTGATATAGCTAGATGAATGTGGATGTGTTGGTAACTCTTTTCTATTTGTTGATTTTGTTCTTTGTTTCTTCTTTTTTGCCTTCTCCTTTTTAATTACTGTCATTCATTTCACTTATCTATATGCTATAATCATCAATGCATGCTTACTATTATAACCTTAAAAATGGGAAGTTATCTTTTTGATGTGTTAATGATAAAAACTAATATTTTTATTTTACCTTTTATTTATTCTTTCTCTGATACTCTGTCCTTTCAAATGTAGATTCAAGTTTCTCATCCTTATAATTTTCTTTCTGATTGGACCAATTCTTCTAACATTTCTTGCAGAGTAGGTCTGCTGACAATGAATTCTTGTCACCAAGTTTATTTCAGTTTTTGTTTATTTGAAAAAAACCTTATTTTCCCTTCTTATATGTGAGTAACATCACTGGATTTAGTATTCAAGGTAAGTGGGCTTTTTTCTTTCAACCATCTGCTCCAATCTACTCTCCTTGCTTGCAAGTTTCTTATGAGAAGAAACTAATTCTTATCTCTAATTCCTATCTTTGTCTTTGAAGAGTAAGGTGTTTCTCTCCCTATAGCTTCTTCCAAATTTTTCTCTCTGCCTTTGGTTTTCTATAGCTTGAAAATGATATGTTTAAGTGTGGGTTTTTTTGGTGTATTTATCCCCGCTGGTGTCCTCTAAATTTTCTGGATTTGTGGTTTGATGTCTGTCATTATTTTGGAAATTTCTTGACCATTATCACTTCAATAGTTTTTCCGTTCCAATCTCTTTCTTCTCCTTTATTCTTGGAATTATACATATGTTATGCCTTTTGCAAATGTCTCATGGTTCTTTGACATTTTGTTGTGATTTTTTCTTTTCTCTTTGCAGTTCAATTTAGGAAGTTTCTACCAACTCAATTCATCTTCAAGCTCACCGAGTCTTCCCTCAACCATGTTAAGACTACTCATGAGCCCACTGAAAGCATCCTTCATTTTCATTACAATGTTTTTAACTGATAGACTTTCCTTTGGACTCATAAAGTTTCCATCTCTATGCTTACATGATCTCTCTGTTCTCGAACATGATCTACTTTTCTCCACTAGAGCCTGTAACATTTTATTTTAAATTCCCCACCCAACAATTTAATATTTATGTCATACTGGAGTCTGGTTTTTATCATTGTTTTGTTCTTCAGACTTCTTTTTATTTTTCTTTATTGGCATGTCTCTAATTTTTTGTTAAAATGTAGACATGTTCTATCAAGTAATAGGAAGTAAGATATTTAGGCCCTTAGAGCGATAGCCTATGCTAAATTGGCAAGGAACTGGGTTATGTTTACATTTGTTATAGTTATTAAGTGCCAGAGGCCTCCAAAGTCTTCTTGTGTCATTGTTTTTGTGTCCTTTACTGTCTCTGGTTTCCCTAAGTAACTCTCTTCAGAGAGGCAGTATCTTGCAGATCTTTCATCTACAATCCACGGTTATTACTTTGGAGTCTGAGGATGTGGCAGTGGGGTACAGGGAAGATATATAGCATTCTATAATCTTCCAATTAAATCTCAATCTTTTAGGGGCTCTTTGTCTTGGGGATGTCAGTTTTCCAATAATATAGCTTCTCTAGTAGTATACCTTTATTCCTCCTGTCCCTTCCCCTTTTCCCTGGCTATAAAATTCCCAATTAATTTCTTTTAGACCCTGATTGCTGTTTGACTATGTCTCTTATCACCTCCAACCCCACAGCTGAGATAGGGATGCTAAAAGGGGATGAAATCAGATAAATTCCTTGCCCCTAGTTGGAAAAGGGCCTGGAGAATTAGGACTTTTTAATGAAAAGGGCTCTGGAATATTTCATAACTATTCTTTCCCATCCCTGACTATGAGGGATTTTTCTCAAAGAGAGAACCTCCTGAGGTTACTGAAATCCATGGAAGTATACCCCGCTTGACAATGGAACCTCTAGGAGTTTCTTTCTCTCAACATGAGTCTATACTCAGCCTGAAGAAATTCATCTAAAGTTTCACAAGTGTTCCTACTGTTTAGGAACAGAAATCCAGTGGATTCAGCTCCAGGTAAACAGATCTGGGTTGTGTCTCTCTTGATGACCCTGAGTCTACATTTCAGGGTGATGATTTGCCTGCATCTTCAACTCTCTGAAAGGTTCAAGAAAAGTTGTTAATTTCTAGTTTGCTCAACTGTTTTTGTTGTTGTTGTTGATGTTGTTTGTTTGTTTGTTTGTTTTACTATAAGGATGGGAGTGACAGTTTTCAAGCTCTTTACCTGTTGGGGATGAAGCAGGAAGTCTCTCTGATCTATTTTACTTAATTCCTTCTGTCTCTCTTCAGCATGCTTGAGTCCTGGCAGGCTGTCCCATGGCCAGCTAGGGCCTTCTCTGGGTTAGACTCCCATTGCTATAAATTTCCTCTAGTTTTCTGCTAGGCTTCAAACATTGTATAACCAGGGCTCCTTAGCTGGAACTGAGCAGGGACAGTGCTCTCTGAGACTGCGGAGGGAACACTGATGTGCACAACATATGGTAAACCCTACTGGTGTTACAAGAAGGCAGTGCCACAGGAGGCAAATCAGGAAAGCGGGGACCTTGCTGCTACAGTTAAGGATGCTCTTTGGAATCTGAAGAGCTGCACAATCCCTGTTGTCCCACATCATGGCAAAGAGAGACATGGGAATCGCTATAGGTACTGTATAACTGGTGATCTACAGACCCTGGCCTCTGAGACATGCACTTACATCATTATTCTTGTATTTTAAGGACATTATATGAAAGTGTTCTGATGGGCTTTCAAAAGGAGGAATACACATGGACTTGGGTTACACATATAACTTAAGAAGCAAACATCTTATGTTCAGCTTCCCTGGCTGCATCTGCATCCTTCTATTAAACTGAATGATAATTTAATTGTAGTTTTGTTTTTTCCTTAAGTATAAGTAGAGTCATCTCACAAAGACCTAGGTTCCTCTTTATCTGACAACATTTGAAATTACAGACCAGGGACTATTTATTTTAATTCTGATTAATAAGGATATATGTGATATTGTTTTCCTCTTAGATACTGATGCTGGAAATAAAGAAGCAACCTATTGATCCATGTGACACTTTTGGCGCCAAAGTGTCTAGAGCAGCCAGAAAAATCTAGATATGTTTGTTCGCTGATGATATATATATCACAAGATACCAAGAAGTATAAGAAAAGGATTGGATCCTCGATGGCCCCTCTGAAGGCAAATCCCTCCAAACTGGGGACAAAGAAAATTATTCCATCTTTCCAAATAATGCCCCCTGCTGTACCCTCTGTAATGAAATAAGGACTATCTATCATGGTGGCAGCTGGTTGGTAGACTAGGAGGGGTGGTGAGCAATGTGCAATGGGAAAGAGGCTGAAACAATATAACAAGCTGGGAGATTTTCCTCCTTTCATCTGGGTTTGAGATTTTTCACAGACTATTTTTTCCACAATGCTGAATGATAGCAGGTCCCTATAGTTTTCTGCAAGTTTTTGAGTCATCTGGTATCTGCCTTTTCCAGGCCCCATTGACCCCCACCCCTCCAGCAAGGTTGCTGTGGTGCCAAGTCGGGAAGGGAGAATGAACACAAACAAAAGTTTAAGAGAAGCCCCAGAATGGACAGGGATGTGTAGAGGAGGTTGGAGATGCCAGATTAGAAGAACCAGGGCAATTCCCAGGGTTGGAAGTAAATGGGAAGTGAGAGAATGGTAGAGATAGTGGGCATTAAAAAAAGTGCTGGGGGAGAGAAGGAGTAAGGGTGAGAAGTACAAAATGAATCAGGAAAGGAAAAAGGAATGTGACCCTACATAATACACACAGACACACACACACTCACACACACAGAGCTATAAAGGAGGGCTGAGACATCACAGTCGCTGACTGCACTGTGCAGATAGAGCTATTTGCAATAATTTGGAAATCATACCTTGTTTTGTTTAAGGGCACCTTTCTCTTTCATGTGAGGACAGTCCTTTCCCGTCACCACAGCTTTGATATCTGCCACCGGCACTGCAATTCATAAAAGAAAATGAAAGTAATGACACCATTGAAAGCTTCAGCATCAATAAAGAAGCAGAACTAAGCACTGAGTCTGCTTCCACGTTTGCCGTTCCCAGAAATGAGTGCAAAAAAAGAGACAAGAAGAGTGGTGAAAAAAAGAGAAGTCAGGCTGTGTCCCAGGACTAGAAACTAAAACACATTCTTATATTCTGGTAAAAATGCATCTGTGGGGAGAAAGAACTATGTCCACAAAGTCTGGTTCACTAAAACAAAGACACTAAAAAAAAAAAAAAAATACCATTCTAGGAGTGTTAAAGTGATGGCATTAGAAGCAGCAATGGATAACAGTGATTGTAAATGCATCAACAGATGAACACTGTCATTACAGAGGGCTTCTGTGTGCCAGGAGCAGTGCCAAGTGCTTTTTCCATGTCAGTATCTCTCTCTACAGCATCTGCATTTATGTAGTTTCCAAGTTTGGGATAAAGAAGGAAAGCAGCCTTATTTCAAAAAACTTACCTGACTCTCAACAGTTCTCAACTCTCACTCCTTGATCTCTCTCTATACCATCTCATTATTTCTTGGGATAATTCCAAAAAGTAGGTAATATTATCCTTATTTTATAGACAATGAAATTAAACTGAAATAAAGGAAACCTTAATCTGATAGGGAATTCTTAAAATAATGCAGTTAGATAAAATGATGTTATCTCATGTCTTAGGAGTTGGAGGAAGATAAGAAAAGATATGAAAACATCTCTGCATTTAAAACTTTTGTTAAAAATCAACTAAGAGAAGATAGTAGGAGGCTGGTTTGAAACTTTAAGGTAAAAATACAAAGTCATCCCTCCTTCTCCAATCACTAATCCTTCAGTCCCAGGAGGATTGTGAATCTATGGGCACATTGCAGACTAGCTCGTCTTTACCAAAGGTGGGAATTTAGGATCTCTGAGTGATCCATTTTTTATGCTGCTTCAAATCAGGAGGAGAATGTGAGATTTCACAGTTAAAGATTGTATAATTTTTTTTTCAGAAAATTGGTTGTAAAGTTGATAAATATAAAATTACAGAACATAAAGAATGTTGAAACAACTAAACAGGAAGGCTTATGTTTTCTGAATAAACTAAAATCAAATCTGTTGACAGCCCTCAAGCTCTCTCTATCATAAAAGCAGTGGGGTTGTAGAAGCCCTTCCAGGATTCTTTGTAGGCTCCTCACCTCATGGGTTCCTCCATCTTGAAGCCCTGATTTTAGACCCTTTTGGTAGACATTATTCTATCTTGAAGCCCTGATTCTAGACCCTTTTGGTAGACATTATTTGCTCACTCCTTTCTGCTTCTTTTGGCTATATGAAAGACTACATTTCCCAATAGCCTTTGTACATAGGTGGGTCATGTGACTAGCCTTGGCCAATGAAATGTAAGAGGAAGTGCTTCTTTTCTAGATTGAGCCAGTAAAAAGCCCACATTCTATTCTGTTTCCCCAGCTGCAGAAACTGAAGGAGTACAAGTCTCATTCAGAAGGTGCAACTATGGATGGCAAAGCCAACATTGGCTTGTGTTCCTAAGTGCAAGTTAGATAACATGAGAAACAAACTTTTGTTGGGCTTAAGCCACTGAGATTTTGGATAGTTTGTTTCTACAGCAAAATGTGGCAGTGCAGTCTGTCCTGAGTATTATAATTCTTTACTTCAAGATGCCTTTTCTGTCTCCCTACCTGGACCCCTTTAAATTGGCATCTTGCTGTAGGTTGTCTGTATGGTTCCTGAACCTACCTTTGACTGTAAATTCTGACTTCAGTACTCCTCAAATCCATTTTCATAATGAAAAAAATCAGTCTTATTGCTCTTAGTAGCTGAGCTGGCTGCCTAATCAATACCCTAAAGAGGGCAGATTCAGACACTTTGGGAAGTTGATTAAAATTTCAATGGGCACAGTGAAGTGAATTTTTAATATGACTAGCACACCAATTCAATAAACCTCAAGCTTCATATGAAGTTTGGATTACAAGTACATTGTAGAAAGTCTTTTGTATAATATATTATGTGGCCAGTAAATTATAGAGAGGGTTCACAATCTACAAATAGTAAGTTACCTGTTGGCTTTGAGAACTCATTATATGGAATGGGACAAGAGGAAGATAGAAATGAGTTCATCTGTAATGGGAAGAATTCAGGGATGAAGTTACTTCCCCAGTGGGTTTTGTGGAAGTACACTACTTTATCTTTTTAAATATGTATTGTCCCTTGTTAGAGAGATAAACTGCTGTCTCACTCATAGGATTATGAAACTCACAAAAGAAAACCAAATATAAAGTAGCTTTGCATTTTGCATGGTTTTTCCTCTAGATGCACCAGAAGATTAAGCCTAGGAAGGACTGAAAATGCCATACTTGCGAGTCCTAGGGGCAGAAACAGAGGGGTCAAGAGGGGTCAGCCTTATGCTCTTGAATATTTGTTCTAAGGAGGTCATAGAGGGATTTTAATGACTTCAAAGCCAAGCCAGTATTTACATTGGGGCAAAATAAAGAGGTGAGGCCCAGAGATAAGCGAACCAGGAGGGCTACTACTGCAAGAAGTACAGCCCTACTCTTATCCTCTGAGATGGGGCCTCTTTTATTAGAATTATTCAGTTCAAGTTTGATTGAGACCATCTTGATTCAACATTCCCATTTTATATATGGGAAGACAGAGATTTTGAGAGAAGAAATCAGTTATACAATGTCATATATCTAGTGAAAGACAGAGCTGGGCTTAGTGCTCCATGTTCCAGTGTTAAGATGTAATTTATTACTATGTTTTGAAAATGCCAGCACCCCAAATCATACTGAGCATAATTGTCACTTCTGACATGTTTAGGAAACCCTTTGCTAGTATCTGCGGAAGAAACTTTAATTTGAAACAAAAATATCACTGAAAAAAGTAAATGTGGCCACCATGATGAACAGAATTTCAGTTTTACTACTGGGAACTAAGCAAGGCAAAGCTGTCTCCAGAGAGCAGCTGATAAGTCTTGAGCACTTGCTTGAGTACATAGCTCCATAGCAGAAGCTCCTGTGGGTGGAGACTCAGAGGAGGGGCAGGATGACTTCAGGAGAGCTGACTGCAGAATCTGGTCTCTCCAACCTGAGTAGGCTGGCCAAGCAGTATAGCATGATGGGAAGAGCTGTGCTTTTGGAATCAGAAACCCAGGGTTTGAATTCTAGATCCTTTTACTTTACTACCACTTTGGGCTTAAGTTCTCAGAGCCTCAACTTCCTCATTTGCAAGGTGAAATTATAACATTATCTATCTTAGGAGTTGCTCTAAGAATTCATTCCTAACACTGGAGCCAAGATCACATATGATTTTTAATCTAGTCAGTAGAGAGTATGGGGAAATATTTGGGCCATGATGTTGGATGGCTGCATTTAGATCTTTGCTCTACTATTTACTAATCTTGTGATCTTTAACCAAGGTGCAGAAAAATAAGGATGTAAAATGAGGATGGTAATGTGTACTTCTTTAATGTAGGTCGAAGGAAATTTATGTCAAGCTCTCAGCACAGTGCCCAGCATATTATATGCACTTAACAAAGGTCATTTGCAATTATTCTCATTATCAATAATCAAAGTTCACTCTCTCTGTACATGGAAGGACCCAAATCCTTTACTGTGCTTCTATGACCCAAATGCACCACTTTGCCTGGCTGTATCAGCACTATCCTCACCTACCATGACAGGCTTAATCTCCTTCTGGGAGGGCATCAGCCTGTGCTTTTCTGCCTGTCCCTTTGATGTGGAAGTGAGGAGTGCTGGCCTAGATTCTTTCAAAAGGAGGCTGCGAGGGGCCTGGGGCATGGCTGGGAAGCAATAGAGCCCTGTGTCTAGTGGGGACAATGACAGCTTATAAATCCCTCCCCACCCCGGGGAGGGGAGGGAAGTAGGATGAGAAGGATATAAGGAAATATGGATTGCAAGGACCGCATTTCCTGGCAAACAAAAAGCATATGAAAAGAGAGATTTCCTAAACCTTTAGGGAAGAAGACAGCCAAGGACAGGCCCTCAATCTTTCCTAGTGCTAGTTGAATTAAGAGGATTCAATTACACTATTGGATTCATCAATATCTCAATATTCAGCCCTGATTAACTCAAAGAGCGGAAGACAATTTTTTCCCTCAGTCTTAAGAGAGGGCAATTGTACATGGCAAGAGCAAAGGCACTTAACATTAATTAAAGGAATGTCTCATTTTCCTAGTGGAATAAGTTTTTCTGACTTTTAAGGGCTCCAAGAGAGGAGCTATTTTGCTCCAGGCAGAATGCAGAATTGGAAAGAAATGCAAACCAGGACACTGGTGTGTGTTTTCATAAAGCTAATTTATTCATCAGAAGGAACAGTCTTTTATTCTAAGAGTAGATCCTTCTTACCTACTATTTTGTAACCAAGGGTCCTTTGTTTTGTGAAGAAAACTGTGATTTGTAACTTTTGCTATAATTTTTTTTAGTTATATTTTATTTTTTAAATAAAATATGCATTCTTGAAGCAGTAAACTTCAGTTTCCCAGGCCAGGGAAGCAGGTGGACACAGATACAATCTCACCCTCCCCTCACACACACACCCCACATGCACACTCACTCACAACTTCTCATTATCAATCTATATTACAATGGATGAAGTGTTTGTGGAGCAGGCTTTTTTTGTGTGCATGGGGGGGTGTGGTACCAGAAATTGAACTCAGGGACACTTGGCCAATGAGCTGCCTCCACAGCCCTATTTTGTATTTTATTTAGAGTCAGGGTCTCACTGAGTTGCTTAGCACCTCGATGTTGCTGGGGTTGGTTTTGAATGCATGATCCTCCTGCCTCAGTGTCCCCAGCCTCTGGGATTACAGGTGTTCACCACTGTGCCAGGCTAAGGAGTGGGCTTTGAAATTTCATATTACTGGATTTCCAAGGCAGCAGAGGAAAGAGAGGGACAAGGAACAAGCATTTTGAAGGCACTGCCAGGAGGGACTGCTGAAACCTCCCAGATCTAGCATCATTCCATGACCACCACCAAAAGCCGTGAGGAGATTTGCAGCTCAGGCTTTGCTCCTCTGCAACCGCTCTGGAAAAGTGGCTGTCCCTGCCATTGACACTCCTGGCTGCCAGATAGCCATTTCCATTCTGGGTTCTTGGAGGCGAGGTCTTAAGTGGAGAGGGCATCAGCTTGAGTATGAACCCAGGAGGGGGTGTCAGCTTGTGTGTTGTTCACACGCAAGAACCTTCTTAGGAGTGGGGTTGCCCATGTCCTAAGCAACTGGTCAGCTGGAACGGGTGTGCTGTACCTAGCAGCTAGCAAACCTCCAAATCACATGAGTACTCTAGGATTGAGAAGTGGATTTTATCCCTGTAATTATGAGGATATATATAACATGTCCTGTGAGTGGGAGAGTCGATTCACTGGACTACAGGGGAAGGAGTGAAATAAACTGATTTTCCCATCCAGATCACTTTTTCTGTGTTTCGAGCAGGTGAAGAATAGGGCTGGGGAGTCCTCCCAGAAAGCTGCTGGTTACTCTGACCTCTAAGAACCTCGGACTCTTCATCAAACCACAGTGATGAGCAATGATTCCAAATTACCATCCCTGGATGGTCCCTAGTTCACAAGTTTTCACCAGTGAGTTTTCATCAATTTAAGTGGGGGGGAAATGAGGGTACTAGTATGTTTTCATAAAGCTAATTTATACAGCAGAAGGAACTGTCCATTATTCTAAGATTAGGTCCTTTTTTTGTGTGTGTATGATCAAGTATCCTTTCTTTTGTGACAAAAGTTGTGATATGAAACTTTAGATTTTTTTTTCCAGTTGTTGTCGAACACAATACCTTTATCTTATTTATTTATTTTTTTGTGGTAGTGAGGATCAAACCCAGCGCTTCACACATGCTAGGCAAGCATTCTACCACTGAGCATTCAACCCCAGATTTTAATTTTTTTTTTTAATATTTATTTTTCAGTATTTGGCGGACACAGCATCTTTGTCTGTATGTGGTGCTGAGGATCCAACCCAGGCCGCACGCACGCCAGGCGAGTGCGCTACCACTTGAGCCACATCCCCAGCCCCCAGATTTTAATTTTTAACGTTCATTTTTACAAAATTTAAAGTAGGCAATACACTAGCCATTCACTTAAAAATTGTTACTTATTGGTGAAAGCCAGGTTCAGGGACTCACTATGTGGAGTATCAGGAAATATCTAGCTCAGCAGTTCCCAAACCTGTGTGGACATCAGAGTCACCTGGAGGGTCTGTTTAAACAGAGTTTGCCAGACCCTACCCCAGAGTTTCTGATTCAGCAAGTCTGGGGTGTAGGTCTAATAATTTGTATGGCTAAGAAGTTCCCACACCTAGAGAACCACCCTCCTGGATATTTGAACCATGATCATAGTGTCCTCATCTACAGGCAAAAGCCCAGGACCCCCCTGGGTAGGTACGCAAAGGCACAGGCCACTTAGACTTTGCAGCAGATTTCAGATTTCTTGCTCCCTGCTTTAGAGTGGCAATGACGTGGGCTAGGAAGGGAATTGTCCTATGGAAGGAAAAGAACTATAATGTTCCAGGTTATCTGCCTGAGATGTCAGCCCAGAGTCTGAAAGTGTCAAGAAGTCTCTCACTTGTGGTTTATTTTCGTCTTTGATGGCCATGAGCTGTAAGGAAAGTATTCCAAATTTGACTTCCATGGGCCCTGGGGCGACAAGAGGAAGGAGTGAAACAGGGTTGGGGTGAGGCTCAAGACTCTGGGACTTGCTTATCTGAACACCACAGGGTTGGTATGACTTCTAGAGGTTATGTAAAATGTCCTAACTGCTCCCTCTTTGCTTTCTCTACCTAAGATATCCTCCAAGGCTGTGCTCCCTTTTCCTCATTTCTCTTCCAAATTAAATCATCACCCTTGTGTATTTTATTGTTTCTGTAATGCCTTGTTTAATTTGCATTTAACACTGAACTTGCACTTGGTTTGTTGTAGGGCTAAAAGAATCCTTCCTATAACTCCCTCTTCAAAAGCATGCATATTAAAACAGACAACATACAAAAAAGTGCAAATAAACATAAGTAATATATATCTTGTGGAATATTTAGCAAATAATAGAATTTCATTCATCATAAGTTTTCAAAGTGTTTGAATTACTTCTCTGAAGCAACTCAACCATACTTGAATCTGCCATTGGCTCTACATTACCATTATGCGATACATTAAACCATCATGAATAAATATGGTAGAGATCAAGCATGTAAGTTATGTGAAAGTCTTCTGGGTTATTAAAAAAAGACAATTGACAAAATTAGGCTTATGTTATTTTGGATCCCTGAAATATCCATCTGGATAAATTATGTGAAAAGCAGATATCTGAGCTCTAAATTTATATCTTTCAGGAACAATGTCTGAGCATCCCATTTACACTCTCTGTGTGGATGCACAAGATGAACCAAATTCAAAGGGTTTATTTAGACAGTTTTGTTGCACGACATATTGTGACTAAGAAACAAACAACCAACCAAAACTCAGGTGTCCTACGTGAGAGAGCCACTTACATTTGTCCTGCAAGGAATCATGGGGCACTTCTCCCTGAGGGCTTTCTTCCAAGTCTCCATAATGTAGGACCTTATGATTTGGAGAAAGCCGACAATACCAAAACTTGTCTGTGGAGAAAAAACATAAATTAATATGATAAGTGATTCTGGTATTCAAAAATATTAGTATGATTATTTCCTAATACTCTAACCTGGAGGAACAGCTAAAAGTTATAATTCCTTTGATTTCAAATCTTGAGAAAGTATGAATTCTAGGGCCCCAGGCAGTAAGCCTCCTTCTGATTTTGATATTTAGGTATCACCTATCCTGCTTGGTCCTATTTGGTAACTATTGGAAAGTTACCAAATCCTGGTGGTTTCCAGAGGGTATTTAACCAGTATCTGTAACCACCCAGGGGACCATTCCTTAGGTCTGGTAAAAGTGGCAAGAGAGCTAAGTGCAGAGACATGATCTGTAATCCCAGGACTTGTCATGCCAGCTACTTGGGGGCTGAGGAATGAGGATCACAAGTTCAAGGCCAGCCTGGGAAATTTAATAAGACCTAGTCTCAACAATTAAAGAAGGGGGGGTGGACTTGGGGTATAGCTTACTTGCAAAGCATTGTTACTGAGAGACAATGGGTTCAGTTCCTAGTCAATACTACCACTATCACCAGCAGTATCACAGCTACAAATTGGGTGGAAGATGAAGGAGAAACAGCTTCCTTAAAACTTTTTGACTTCCACTTTCCTCTCTGAGGGGTTCAGACTGCTGAGATAGTTGTCTACGAGGCCACGTCTTGATTGACATAACAAACCCCCACACATAATGACCATTGAATGAATTGCTAGGGACTAGTGATACACAGAGGCCCTAGGAATCATGAGAGGCTCACTTGAATGATTGAGGAATTTAGCAAAAGAATAAAGACACAATTATCTCCTTCCTAATATCTTAAAGTTTAGTTTTCTGAATAGGCATGACCCAGGCCTTAGGATTATTCTTACAAATAATTTCCTTGATTTTACCACGTCATCCCCCAAAGATAATAAGAAATACTGAATAAGCCTGTGAGGCAGGGAGAGGGAAGTAAGAGCCCTTTATATAGATCTACAGACGTACAGATAAGGAACTTGAACTTCAATGTTCCTGAAGCTAGATAGGCTCTGCTCCAGCCACCTCCTCCAGGAAGGTTTCCCTTGACCATTTCAGCAGAAGGGCCTCTCGTCCTCTGAGCTGCTCCAGCATGTTCTTTGTACCATGAACACAGATTAGACTGGCATTACCGGTTCTCACATGTCAACCACCTTAGTATCCCCCTGTATCTGCCTCCTCCCTAGGTAAGCAACTTGCCCTAGTGGGTGTACTGTGAACAATGACAGAAGGGGAAAGAGGGCTCCTGGATCCTCATTGGCCCTGACCGTGTGTAGAAGTCAGGGTCTCTCTGCTGACAGCCACTGTCCTCTCATAATTGCAGTGTTCCAATGCTTGGGTGCAGTCCCTGGCATATAAACACTTCGTAGTAGGTGTTGGCTAAATTTATCAATGAGGACCCAAGGGCACTGGGTTATAGCACCTCAGGGCACACGGCATCCGTTATCTACAAGCCCTTTGTAGCTTTACGCAGCTGGATAATGCTATGGTTTCGGTCAAGTCATCTCATTACTGTGCTTGCAATCCCAAATTGTTTTGAAACCACTCTGACAAGAAAGCTCTCCACTACATTTTAAGAAAAGTGGTTTTCTCTCTAAAATTGCTTTCACTGCAAAATCACGTTTTAACAGTATTTCCTCTAATAGTCAAACACATTTTAAGAATGGAAGTAAAAGTCACAACGAACAAGGAAAATACCCCAACTTGAGCCACAAAATCTGAGTGCCTCTGTGATTCCTATCTTCCTTTAAGTGTGCCAATGAGGCCTGAGATTTCCTGAGTGTAGTCAGAATATGGCAACCCATATTTACAGGAATCTGACCTCTGGTGGAAAAGTTTGAGAGGGTGGAGAAGGTCATTTAATGGCTAGGAAAACATCTTCAATTGCTCAATTTTCAACATTATATATACACAAAGCTCAGGGTTGTTTTTCTGGGAGAGCACTTCAAAGGGACAGAAGTTATTCCCTGAGTATCTCACAGCCATTTTAATTAGGCAAATGTGCAATTACTGGTTTTCCATGAGGAGCACACATTTGAGAATTTGATTTGAAATTCACAATAGGAATTGTGAATTCCAAAGGAGGATGTTCTCTTTTCTGAGCATCCAGTGTGCTCTTGGGAACCTGGCATGACAGGTTTTGGTGGCTGTCTCCCCACAAGGACCTTTCATCTGGTCTCCATGCCCCATGATGACCACAATTGGCTGTATAAGGCTTTTCCTCCTCAGCTACCTCTGAGGTAGGATTTTGGGCTAAGTGAGTGACAGAAAACTGGGAAGGAAGTCAGTGAGACTTGACACTTGGAGAAGGCAATCTTATACTGAATAATGTCTTAGCCTGTTCTTTTAGGAATCCTCTCTTCAAACTGGGATAACTCAAGGGGTGAGGGGTGGTACTAGAAGACAAGGAGTCAATAGGGCACAACAATCAAAGATCATTTATATCAGAATATTTTGAGGGGAGGAGTAAAGAAATTTAACTGATACATACAATTTAATGCAAACATATGAGTAAATTGTACAACACACTCATCTGTAAGATATATTCACTTGTGAGACTTTGAAACACTTTGCTGCTTATATTTTCAGGAGAAATTTATTCATCCACTAAATAATTATAGTGTCTCTGCAATGCAGACAGCATTCTACTGGGTGCAGCAAGAAATCATTAGAACAAATGGCAGACATGAGAGAGAAAATAGAAAAGCTCAAGGAAAAGGAGTCCCCTCTGTTTTTCATGTTGGCTAAGAGAAAGATGGCAGAAATGCTTGTTTCCCAGGTCTGGGAAGTAGGGACAAAGACAAATCAGGAATTTGGGATATACTATAGGGAAAATAGGAAAGAGAGGACCTCCCAGGCAATACCTTTTTGTGTTCATAAACTATCAGGGAACAGTGACTCTTTAATCAGGGTTCTAGCAGGCAAACAACCATCTTCCTTGCAAATCTACCATAGAGGCTTATTTAAAAGAAACACTAAAGTCCACCTGGAACTCTGCCATAACTATCTGGTATGTCCCTGACAGAATGTCCTTTCAGGAGATTAAAGTCTCTTGATTTATACTATGCCACTCTTCGCTGGTTTTCTTCCTACCTCTGGCTAATCCTGCTCTCATACAAGTTTCTCTTTCTCTGTCATTTACCAAAATGATAGAGTAAAGAGATCTATCTGTGCATCACCAACATCAGTGATGTGTTTAGCTCTTCTTCATCAAATAGGAAGTCTTGGATGGATGACAGAACATTGGAAGAAGGGGGCTGTAAGGCTGACAAGCTTGCCTTGACCAGTAATCCAAACAGGAGTGCTCAGCCAGCACGGTCCTCAGGTTGAAGGCTGGAGTTTTGGAAGACTTAGAATCATCATCGCCATGCATTTCTATCTCAAAGGTGGGGCTGCAAGAGAGTCCAACTGCCAGCTACTACCAGCACAGCACACTGACATGTTGGTGGAGACAATTTTGGTGTCAGCTACCAGCAGCAGCTTGATTTGCAGATTCTTTTATGGTAAGAAAAATGTGCCTTTTCCTTTCAAAACCCAGCAGGATGTTACTAGTTCCTCAATCCCTCTGGGCAAAGAAAAGAGTGGATTTCGTCACTAAAGGCAATCAGCAGGAAATGATGAGAACATTATCAAAGATTGTTTACTAGCATTTAAGGAGAAAATAAGCATTAATATGGAGGTCTTCTAGTCAATTACGAATGAGAATATGTTAATAGCCATCTCTCCATTCCTAAACTCAAAAATATGGAGACAATTTTGTACTTCAATCTTTTCCTCCCCCCATCCCCGTGGTGTGCGTGTGTGTGTGTGTGTGTGTGTGTGTGTGTGTGAGAGAGAGAGAGAGAGAGAGAGAGAGAGAGAGAGAGATTGTGTTTAAAGGAAAAGTTGTGTAAAAGGAAAAGTTGGTTTCATAGCTCATAAACCTGGTAAGAAGGGCTGTTAAAGCTACCCCCAAAGTCACATAGATTATTATGGAGCTAATTACCACCGACAACTAGATTCCTTGCAGTGTTGTCCAACAGAACTTTCTGCAGTGATGGAAATGTTCTATATCTGCTTTATTCCATAGTAAGGAAACAAATTTTAAAATTTCTTTCACTTTAATTAACTTAGCTACAGGTAGCTGGTCATCAGGTCTTCAGGGGAGACTTGGCAAGCTACATAATTGTGTCCATTGGAAAGTGTGACATGCTGGCCTTTCTGTGAGGCAGAAAGCACAGCAAGAATCAAGTCCTAATCAATTCTGGTAGGGAATCAGGGGACATCCTCATTTTGGGCACAGAGCCCACAGTTGGGAGCTGGCTACTGACCCACAAGGCCTCAGAATCCTGCGTTCAGGAAGCAGAGAGTTTATACAAACTACATTCTTAGAGCACTTCCACTAGGATTTCATATTTGTCCTAGGTTGACCTAAAATATGCCAAGTTTCCCTGTGTTCAGGAGAAGGACTGCTTCCTGCCTGAGATGGAAACATTCCAAGTCACAAAACAAGAAGGACCCAGCAATGCCTTCAAAGGAAAATGTCACCTTCTAGGTGATGAGATGCACAACTTCTCTATTGGTCCAAGAAAAGGAAAAAAAAAAAAACCAGCTAAAGATAGAGAAGAAGGTCAGCATACCTTTCAAATCTTTCTCACTTCACTGAATGTTCAAAACCAGGGAATTCAGAATTCTGTCTCCCTAGAGACATCTGTCTCTTCTCACAGCTGGTGAATCCAGAGGCCCTAACTAAATATTTGCAAAGAGGACTTGAGATGCCTTGAAATCATAATGGCCCCTAAACTTATTACTTGGGAGCCTTGGCCAAATTATAAAAAATGTCCTGCTCTTCATTTGTTATGTAATGGTCATAAATGCATGAATAAAACACATGTAAAGTACATACAAAGTCTAACTACATGAGTAAAACTCGTAAAGTATCCATCAAGTGTCTTCCATCGGGTTGGCTGGCTGGCCACAATAAATCATCAAGTCTTTCTGCTTTTCCATTCCATGGTGGCCTCTCTCATCCACACTACAGGGCCCTCCACATTTAGGGAACAGAGATCATTCATTATTCTGATTTATTGAAAAGTGCCCCTTTCCTGAAAATGAACTAGCTTTTACTTGAAAAATATGCATTTATTTATATCTGCCTTTTTGTTAAAATGAGTTACAGTTATGTTTAATAAAATATTTAAAGGAAATTTCCATCAAATATAGAGGAAGAAATAGCCTGATGCCCCGAGGGTTTATATGGTGCTATGCATGAACATCCTGTTTCCTTCCAGGCTTTCTGACTAGGCCACAGGAGTCAGGGAAGGCTGTGGGCACAAGTGGGGAGGCACGCCTGTTCTGTAAGGGTGGAATAGGGCAACT